AAAAGTGTTTGCTAATCGGAGACTTGAGGTCTCCCGTAGGTCTCCGCCGGAGACCTAAATCACAAAAAGATACGGCGATTTTTTCATTCCCAAAATATTTCAAAGATTTTTCAAACAATTCTTCTACTCTTCTTTGCGCATCTTTATGCCAATTTTGGTGGTCCGCTTAGAGAAACGGCTTTATCTAAACATGAAGCCCTTTCAAATTTCGCGCGCTAACGAACATTGGACCTTTGCTGGAGCAGGCTATTGAACGGTCTTTAAGTGTGCATAGAATTACTCCGAACTATCATTGAATAAGACGGAAATAATCAGGCCGCTGCATGAACCTCAACGCTAGGAAAGAGGAGGAAGAGAGGAAGGAGCTTCGAGCTTTTCCCATAACATTTTTGTTTTGAAAAAAGCGCTCATAACTGGGATTTAACTGCAGGCTCCTCTCCGGATCCAATACGATCTCCGCCTTGCTTTTTTCACAAAAACGAATTCCAGCTTGCCTTCCGGAGACCTGCCGCCGAGGTTTAGCGTGGAGTCCCTTCCCTATGTTAGGAAGTATAATCAAAATATTTTCGCAGGATCTAATTACATATGAGCTGTTTCAGCGGGCAAAAAACTTGCTCATGAAAGAGGATTGCAAAAATTCTTAGGAATGACAAAGAGAAATCACGGACACTTGGATAAGTTGATCCAACATGTGCAAATCGCCTTAAAAGACAGACTAATATAACAACTTTATGTACAATACGTGCAGTAGCTAAAATGGAATAGGATCTAGATTTCGCCTGAAGAATCCACCATGATGTTTCCTTGTTAACTTGAAGAACGATGAAACCAATTCTTTTGAAGATTCTTCGACCTGAAGAGGAAAAAATCTTGAAAGTGCACAGTTGCCGCTATGCCTCTTTTGTAAGAACCAATAATCAAGGCGTATTTTCTATTATCAGTAGCTTCTGCTGATGCAGAGCTAAGAAATGTAATTAAGCAATGAGTGAAGTGGGAATAGAGAAAAAGGGTATGGGAGTGGCAGGTGGGAGGAAAGGATTTGAAAACTCGCTTTTTGGATGGATGTAGGTATTTTTGCAAATTGATTTGAGAGTTTTAGCTATCAATTTCTGGATGAATAGGATAACAGCATAGCTTCATATGCGCACACGCTGTCAAAAATTTCTCGTTGAGGATTTCTCATATTCTCGCTTATACACCACACAGATCTCGTTTTGCCTAGATCTCAGTTGCACATAAGCATATCATCTCTTCTACCGTAACCATGGACCGAAGTCCCTACAACAGGTACGCCCGAGGCAATGGTCATCCCTGCGGACTTCGGCTAGTCCCACAACTGGATCCACCTCCGTTAGGCTTATTAAAGATTGTAGTTATGACCGTTTTCTCGTGCTTATCATGCTGTCTTTCCACTACTCACCTAATGTCCTCATTCTTTTGCATAGTACCTTTCTCAGTTTGTTCAACTAACCAAGCCAAGCATGCATTTCGTGAGTATCGGAAAAGCATGTCAAGCGTTTTGGGAGTGCGGAGAAGAGAGCACGTAATTATAGTTAAACAAGAACCAACCGTGAGTTCAGCTTGCCTTCCGCCCATGTCGGTTTGCATCCATCCAGGACAGAACAAAACCACGAGAATATGGTTTGGCTGCAGATCGATGGACATAGTTTTCATAATTGAGTTTAGAGCCGACTAGAAAAACAATAAATCAATTACTGATTGCTCCAAAGTGTTGTGGACACCTTGCTGCACCAACCTTGCTCATTCTGTAAGCCAGCAGATCCTCGTTAGGGCCTGATCCCACACGATTTTTTTCGAGCGAACCAAGCGTGGAAGAGATGTTAATAATTGCTGCTCGATTAAAGGAAAACTCGTCTGTGAAAATTTGACTGGCGGCTTTACGCAGCAGTGGAAGGAATGTCTGGAGCGTTTTAAACTTTGCGTTGTCACAGATAGACTATGGCAGTTTGCAGGTGTGTAGTAATCGAACCTGGGTGAGTACAGTTGCACCAGCAGCGTTTGTGTTAAAGATTTCAAGGAGATCGTCACGATTAGGTTCTTGATTTGTACAGTAACTCAAGTTCTTTGCAGCGTTGTTCACCAAAACAGTCACTCCTCGGCTTCCCACAATTTTTTGCACCTAGACATTTATTTGAATTAATTACAAGCAACGATGTTGAACATTGTCTTGAATGAATAAAATTGAGTAGCTGTACGAGACATACCTGCGCAAACAAATGCTTGATGGATTCATCATTTGTCAAATCTAGCTTAAAGACCCTCAGTCGTTTGTCACTTTCAGCAAGCTTGTTTAATTCCTAGGAATAAGTTTTAAAAATTGAAATCTCTTGTTGCGGATAAAAAGCATAGGTGATTTCTACAAGAGAAGTTGT